ATTTATATATATATATATATATATACACAGTCGCAAAAGTTCCCTCTAGATTTTCTTCCGTAGGATTTTTCTTAGCTAAATTTCATCATGGTCAAATTTATGTTTCAACATTTACATGAAAAATAAAATATAAATATAGCATTCTTAAGTAAAACAAAACATCCCATCATGCCAATCATATTATGTCAATCTCGAGCAATAACCACCTTCTTCACAACAAAGTCTAATATGAATAAGAAGTTTACATAAAATTTTCAAATGAATTAGGTCTTGCCTCAATTCGGTCAAATTAGGTTTTCAATAAACTTGTCATGCATTTACTTATAATTTAGAACATAAAATGCCTAACAAAATTTGTTAACTCATTAAGTCATCTTTGAAAATCTCCATGCCATTTTTTATATTTTTATAGCTATCCTATAGATGAAAATCTTAATGAAATAGTGCAACGTGTCAAGTTATTCATATTAGGGTTTCTAAGAACTAATATTGATTTTTCTTGTAATAAACAACCTTAAACTCCTTATGACAATCCCATAAAGTCCATGGCTTATAATAAATCATTCATTTACAAAACCCAATTCTATAAGGATAACCATGTTTTAAGCCTAATATGGTCATACCTTACATGGTCAAACTTTGCATCTCTACTCTAACTCTTACACAATAACAACCTTTGTATTAGCATTTTTAAGAATTATTACACACCCTATATGGATAGAAAAAACTTTGGGACACTGAAATCTAAATGCTATGATAAAGTGACATTAGAACCAAGCCTCGAAAGGCTAGAAAAGTACTTTAAGAAAACAACTTGATTTCTTCTGTTGCATGCTGCATCAAGTGAAAAATTATCAATTCTTTTCAAGAAAATCAGAAATTTTAACTTTGTATTTTACTAATTTTATTAAATTTATTTCCCTTTGACTTTTTGAATCATTGTCTAAAAATTGAATCTCCAGTTATGAATTATTTTACCTAACTAATTACCCTCGCTATAAGAGTAAAACCATTTTGACATAAGCCTACTCTATAAAATCACTATAAAATGAGTAACCTTATAATTTTTATTCCTTATAAAGTATAATTATATAGAATCTAATTTGATAATATAAGAAACTACCGTGGTTGTGTTTAATAGGCTTTAAGTGAAATGTAAGAAATTTTTTTTATAAAATACTTATAGTAATAGTACTAAAAGAGCGGGATAAATATAAAATTTCTCAAAATTGAAATCTTTGTGTTATTCTTCATTTATGTTTTTAGACTATCTTAATTCATGATTAATTTCTTGTTCATGGTTTGCAAGGAAACATATGTTAAAAATTGATTTATATATATAGTACATTACTTAGTTTATAGATCTTTATAAATACAAAACTATTCAAATAATTCATTATCATTTTGTTGGAAGTTTTCAAAATTGATCGTGAAGTTGACCTTCATTAATCATAATTGAAAAGTATTATTTAATTGAAATAACTCAAATTTATTTGAGCTTGAGTACTCTGGTGAAGACTTAATTCTATTTTGAATAGGATTTAATTATTAGAATATTATTCTAATTAGTTCCTTTTTAGTTTAATCTTCTTATTGAATGAATATAATTATTTAAATGAAAATTACTTGATGTTAATGTGAACATTTAAATAATAATTATGGTTCATTATGTTATGTTTGGTTTCTATTATATTAATTAGTAATTAATTAGATTTTGAAAATATAGATAAAAATTAGCTAGTTAATATAAGTAATTAATAATCAATTAATAATAATAACTAAGTTTAAGCCTGCTAAAGTTTTACTCTTAAGATTCTTACATGTGATTATCTTCTTGCATGCAAACAATGTTATTTATTTGAGTTTATCCAAATAATCTCATGCTTTTAGTTATTTAGGGTGATTTTAGTTTTTATTTTGTATACAAAATAGATGAGAGTTTGATAAATAAATTTAAATGACTACATGATTACGAAAGAGGATTTGAACATTTTTTTAATTTTATATACCAAAACCATAATGCATTTGAAAAAAATTATGTAAATTAAAAATATATGTTAACATATATTTATTAAGTTTTAATAATTTCATTATTTACTTGAAATTAAAGAACATTTTAATGAAGATGTTGTATGAAGCTGACACAGTGAGAGTGTAAGAAATGAAGCATTTAGTGTTGAAATTGACATTGAGCAAGCGATAGTTCATTTGAACAACCTAGAATTTATGTCATGGAAGGATTATTGAGGCATATACTGGGCTTAAATGATATCATAATAAATTCAAAAGCTGGTCATGAAATCATAGTGGAGATCCACCAAATGATTCTAGCAAATTCTTGAAGTTAGTAGAAGATGCAAAGGTAAGATTATATTTGAGGTGTAAGTTATTCTTAATGTTACCTTTTATACTGCACTTAAAATACTTATAATGTTATAATTTTTGAACTATAAGATCTTTTTATATATTGTTGAAATTACCAATCTTTGGTTTCATCAAATAAGTTTTACCTCTTAAAAACACATAAGGGATAAAAAATGAAAGCATTTAATCTTGGTTACACCAAAATAAACATATACTCTAATGATTCTTGTTAAAATGGCGAGAAAAATTTAATTATTATGTGTGTCATATTTGTGGCTCTTCATAATAGGTTAATTCTTAAAATAATAAAATCATGTTAATAAAGAGAGATAATGAAAAATAAACAGAGATTGTATAAATATCTCTATTTATAGCTTGATTTGAATACATAACTTAAAGCATACAAATAATTGAAAGAGAATCTATTGTAATCTAAATGAAATGATAAAGATGGTGTTGATGGTGAATGGTGGGAATACTAGAAGGTCATAATCTTGTAAAGAGTCAGTTGATTTTCCAACCACTCCAGCATAAGTTGCTTTTATCCATTGGGAATCAATAGAAATATCAATGGAAGAGGCCATCACCCTTCCAAAACAAGCAGGTTATGGTTTAGCTAGCAGTAAAAACTGTTCAGAAGACAGTAAAAACTGTCCAGAAGAAAACAGATCAGCCAAAGGGAGTTTTCTCCCCAAAGGAGACAACCACTTCTGACACCCAAGGAGACAGCAAGCAAAAGAGTCCAGTGGAGTTTTCTCCCCAAAGGGAGTTTAGCAAGGAATGAAGCCCCAAAAACCAGGGGAAAAGAAAGTTCCCCCAGAATTAGTGGACTAAATGAAAAGGAAACCAATGGAACAGTGCCACTGAAGTTAGCTGAGAATGGAACGACAACCACCAATGTAACAATGCCAAGGAAGGATTTGAAGGAGCAGTAAAAGGACTCTAACCAACTTGAAGCAGCAGCCACACTCCTTCACCCTGCCAGAAACCCTAACAGAGCTTCCTCTCCAGCTACCAGCATCTTCATTAT